ACTTCTAATAACTGGTACTGTAAAAAAGCATCCTGTCGTTGATACACTCAAACGATCAAGTGAATTATTTGCCAAGCTAAACATCATCTTCATTCTATTTTATCCACCAGGAAATGTTTCTTTTGGTTATTGATTTTCAGCATACAGATAAACTATGTTTTAGCTCAAATTCCCTAAACAAACATTTCAATAACCGATTGTGGATTTGTGACATGCTTCGAAATTATTAGTTTCTCTACTTTAACTGTAATAAAGTATGTAAATGCAACTATTTTTTTACTATTTAACACCTACGATACTTTTGAATCTTCGAAAATGTCATAGTAGTCGTCATCGATCAAACTGTCCCATCCTTTTTGGACGGTGAGGACTGATCCACTCAACGAAGTGAAAATCCTCAAGGAACAGCAAATTTTGGGGCCCCATAACTCAATAGGCCTAGGTAAACTACCTCTAGCTTTTTTAGAGGATAAAAGCAACCATTTGTTTAAGGAGCTGACTGAGTTGCTTGCAAATGTTTGGCAATTATAGAGTATATCAACATCATGGAATGCAATCATATTCGTCCCTATATTTTAAAAGGGTTTACGTCACCTATGCAACAGCGATCAGAGGATTAATTTTATCTCGACTACGTCCAAACTATTCGGCTACGTCATATTTCTCAGATTGTTCAGAACCCTTTAAAGACTGGCTTCAGAGAAGCAGGCTGATTTTCGTTCTGGTCGAGAATCTATTGATCATATCTTCATCCTCCACCAAATGTTAGAACACTGTCATGCTTATCACAGGCCAATAAGCGTAGTGCTTCTTGGCATCCGAGCATCATTCGACTCGTTGGACAGAACTGTTTTCTGAGATTGTCGATTGAGAAAGGGTGTACCTAAGAATCTTACTAACATCTTGAAAGTTCTATATGCAAATACCTCGGACGGAGTGATGGCATACAACGACCTCTCTCCATTGCTTCACTCATACAGTAGTATTAAGAAGGGTTTTTCAATCTCACTATTCCTCTTCAATATTACCACCTGGAAACAGCTCTGATCGGTGTAAGTAATGGCGTTGTGGCTCTGTTGTCTGGAGAAAGACATTCCGACCTTGATTACGCTGATGATATTTTGTTATTTTGTGATGATACCCAATCCATACAATCCACGCGTTTTCAGTTGGCAACCAATGTCCGTCAGTAGGACATATACTTTTCATCTCTTAGGTATAAAGTAATCTTACAAGACTGGGAGGACCCTACTCATTCTGGGTAGTGAACAAATAGAAGTAGTCGAGAAGTTCGTGCATATCGGTAGCTGAGTAAGTGCTGATGGTGGCGTGAGGTATGAGATAAATTCATGTATAGTGGAAGTTAGAGTTGGTTATACCAATTTATGACATTTTTGGAGCCTACGTGATGTTAGTCTGGCTGTAAAAGATTGGATCTACAACTTGTCTGTGAGAGCAGTTTTGCTCTATGGTTTTGAAACTCGGCCTCTCGAAGTTGAGGATGATAGATGACACTCTGTGTTTGATTATCGTTGTCTCTGAAGAATTACCAACATCTAGTGGCATCATTATGTTAGTAAGGCAGAGGTTCGAAAACATGTGTTTGGATAAAGTGACGGTAATTTAGATGGTGCTACCATTTTGAAACATAGACTTCAGTGTATTAGACATGTCTTACAAATATCGTGTCAGCGATAACCACATCATGCATTATTTTCCAACTTCGGGACCGATCGGAGAAAGCGGAGAGATGGTCAGTGTATGAGGTGGTGTCGAGATTTGAATGAAGGCTATACAGGACTGGCTTGCGTTTATCTTTTACGACTCTTTTTTTGGTTCTCTTGATAATACAACACTGTTGCTTGAGTAGTTATCAGATATAGCTCAGAATAGAAACCAATGGCGATCCCGCTTTAACTTTCTGTTTCTTTCTTCATAAAAATGGAAGTAACTTCTTTTCTGGCTGTATTTTCCCTAATAGAACTGATACTTCCACTATTATTATTATTATGTTACGCATAGATACTAATTTCTATTCATTTTTGTTAGTTTTTATTGTACTCACTATCCTTTCTCTATCTCTTCACAACCATAGTTTTATTGTGTGGTGCATTTATATTTTATTTCCACTTGTACAAGTGTTTATGTATTAAATATAAATATGTGTACAAATTGTCATTTTACTAAATTGAATGATTTCTATAATAATTTTTATAGTAAAGATATCGTAGATAGAAAGTACTATTCTTCATATATAAAGTTACATATAATAAAAAAACTAGAGAATGAACATTAAGTTTTAGTTGAAAGATCTATTATAGTAAATTTAATCAATCAGTCGTATAACTAGTGGATCAATACCAACTGTGATACTTTTCTAAATACAAGAACAAACAATACAATTTTGTACAAAGATTTAAACATGAGACAAATAATCCAATCACTTGTAATATTATAGGCCTAGTTATATGAAATATTATAAATCTTTAACAACAAGATCGGTTAATGTAAATGGAAGGATAATTTCAATTTATAAAATATGAAGTATTTTCAGTATTGAGATTATTCATATTTCAATTAGGAAACTAGGATATTCTATTATCGTTTAAACATAATGAAAATGTTTATTAATCTCGCGTGGTGCGAGATCGTGGATGCGCACTGCAGAGGAGCCCCATACTAGGACTAAACGGCCGTCCGGTGCTTCCAGGTTTTCCAACGGTGGTCTAGCTTCAATTGATTCATGATTTCAACCAGTGAAATTTCTAAAAACTCCACAAAACCCCTTCTGATAATATAAAATTACCCTGTTTGATATTTTAGTTCATTTTGAAGAATTAACTTATCATTTTATTTATTTCTTGAATATGGAAATAAACCATATTGGGTGTATATTGATTAAAGACAAGAAAGTTTCAAATGTCATATCAGTTCATGTGTGAGAAATGAATTATATGATGAATTAACTAACGGGTAATTAGTATGCGATCAAGTAAAAAGAAACAAAAACTAACTAACTAATTACAGATTTACACATGTATACCCAAAGATTATAAAATATTAAGCAGGTAAATATAAGGAGATAGAAACAGAAAGCAAACGGACAATGTAGTCTATTGAATAAGTGATTTGTGTCAATTTTGATAATCAAAAACAAAGTCTTTTTGACTATGTGAAAATGTTAACTATTTCAAGTACAATGTTTCACATTAATCATTTTAGTGAATTTTTAGAAATTATTAAAAAATGAATCAACACTTGACATCTTCATTTAGGTGTAAATTAGAACAACATAGATATAAGCGAACAATATTGTTTTCGATTAGATCCTTATTAGGCTTTTATTCTAATATTCAGTAATATTTATATGCATATATGAAATTATTCAACCAATCAAAGTAGTTTATGAGGCAGTGGTAACAAAGGAATAGATGACATAAATAAGTGAAAAGTGCAAATTGATAGTGTGATGACAGGAGCACTAGTTGTGATAAGAATAACAAAGACTTAAATCAATGTTACATAATCGGAAATAGGTCAATGATTAGATAAAATAGACAATGGAATAACATTCATAGAAAGACTATAAAATTACGTAATAGGAGTTTTTCAGATAATTGGACCGTGAAGCGTATATTTGAGAAAGAAAAGGGTGGGAGAGTGTGAAGAAAAATAGACGAATTCCTATAGATTCTGCTATGTGTAAGAGACGAGAGGGAACACCATAAGGAAAACTAGTAGGAATACGATAAATAACTTTAAATGGCTTATTTCTGTCTATTACATGACCGCTATCGATCAAGTGTGATAGAGCCTAGCTGCGTATTGTCTTGACAGTACTTTATCCTAACCACGAAGGGAGATGTTCACTAATTCTTTGGCTCAGTTGTGTAGTCGTGCGCCCAACATAGCTTTCTCCACAGGAGCGGCTGTAATTTGGATTGCAGCAATCATATCAGGATTGTCATTTTATGATTAATTGTCTAAGCCCAATATAATCGACAACAATGATAATAATATATATACCCTACTGAACCTGGTATACGTTTTGTCAACTTAAGACAACATATCAAAATTGAATACGAATTGTTTTAAGGATACATATATCACAGATATGCTAACTTTGAAAAACAGACAAGTAATAAAAGATACTACGAATAAGTAAAGCATTGGGGTTTGGTAATACAGCTAATCAAACAGTAATAAGATAACTCAATTTTTACAAGACATGTAAGAAATGTAGGATGTGAATAGACACATACATACTACCATGCAAACACATAAAATATACTCAAGGTTACTTGAAAGTAATTGATAAAGGCATTGAGCTGATATCTCACAACAGACCTGGTTGAACTCCATTGATCACGAATTCTCACTACAACTCCAAGAAATGCCTCTTGAAGTCAATCACTAGTGAGCAGATGATTATTATCAGAAGAGGTTTTGTAAAGATTTTAGTAATTTCAATAGTTGAAATCATGAGTCAATTTAAAAAGATTAGTTAATGTTAAACAATATAAATGTGAGAATTGTACATATTATTCTTTAGCTTTTTTTGTGAGTAGTATATCTTCTATGTATTTTCAGTATCATTTTAATTAAATTTAAAATAAAATACAAATGAAAACACTTTTTTTTGGACATATCACCATTGGAATTGACAATCGAAAATGACTTAACCAATATGTGATATCAAACTAACACTTAACCTATTACTTAGGATGATCATATTAAGGCATGTCATCAAATGTTTGAAGATATATTTCTATATAATATTAAATTGATTGGAAGATATTGTAATTAGTTTGATATTACTTTATTTGTCAATTGGGTTTATTTATTTTGATTAATTATTTCTATTTTGAGGACAACTGTTGGTGAATCACTCCAAAACTAATGGATATATATATATTTCTGTTCTTCATATTATGAATGTTTATATATATTTATATTGGATTGTCCTAAAATGATGAGAATTATGCTGATATTTCGCTTACCGGTGGTAAGGCATAGAAAGATATTATAGCCAAACATGAACATCCTGCAATAGTTTTGCCCAAACCAGATTGTGGTACGCTATCACCATAACCTACAGTACATAATGTTATCTAATTTATGTATTTAAAGTAAGGAGAAAGGGAGAGTTAAAAGATGTATACATATATGTATATACATATGCATATAGATTAACAAATATAAATCTATATTACAGTTTTCTTCATTTAATCGTTTATATAAGAAACAATGTAAAATCCAATCATTTTATATATTCAGTAAAAAAGTGCTGACGAATGAAATATTGTAGAAGATTGTATTGATCGGCCAAATTGTAATCGTAAAAGAAGATTAATTCACCATGTTTATATTATATAGTCCATATAATTTCCATCATTACTAGTATTACGTAATATGTTAATTTAATGAAGTGGATTTCTATTTCAACAATGTCATTTGTTAATTATAGAATATATAATTTCTGAAGAAAATCATTATATGTATGATGTTTCCTTTTCTATACAAATACATGATAATGAGGAGAAAATGTCAATTTTTTCTTATTTTAAACTTACCTCGCTCTTTTTTTTGTTTGTTAACAATACGAATTAATTAATATAAACAAAAGAATAAAGAAAAAAACCATATTCAAACGTATTGATAGAATTTCCATTTTATTTATTTGGATGTCATAACTTACATAGTTCACTTTAACCAGTAATGTTATAGGGGTTAATTATTATGAACAATTCTAGTGTATACTTAACCGAATATTTAAAAGTATATGTGAGATATAAAAATGAAATGTGTTCGTGGTAAATATATCATTTAGTGTATTTGTATATCATTGTAGTGTGTACTACTGATGTTGATAGATACAAGTAATATGTAACAGGAATCGAAAGTAAAATGCCTGGAGATAGAAGATTAGGAAGATCAAAGAAAAAAGAATGAGAACAGAGAATGATCGGTGTGAAAACGAAGGAACAATGAAGTCTCAGACGATTGATTAACATTTCAAAAATGAATTTATTTTATGGTTCACAGATTTTACTAAGATATTCTGTCATTGTGTATTCAAATATATTCGACTGTTTCCACTTGTGTTCTTTTTCGAAGTATTTCATTTCTCTCAAAAGTAACTAATATAAAGAGATTGCAAGAATTCAGCTGCTTACTTCTGGCATCAAGCAGCTAAGTCATTTAGATCAATCTCAATGTCAGTAGTTTAGGAATGAATTATAAGACTGTAAATAACTTTTATTCGCTTACATAGTGAATGTAGTAACCTAAACTGGAATATAATCCAGAATCAGTTGTTGTTGTGTTTTTTTAACTATTAATTAAGAATTTTCATAAAATCGTTGATTATGTTCACATTATTAACCCATTTTATAGATTATTATGGAAAGTTTCGCGAAATTACAGTTACATTGGTATTTATTTGTACATTCCTGTAAAGATCTAACTAGTTGAACACTTTGAATCTCATTAGTAAGCGATGAATAAATAAAAGTTAATTATGTATTGTAATGTCCTATAGTTTTCTGAACTGGATCAGAATAAATCTATCTCATGTGTAACAATGAAAGCAAGTATTATTTTGTAGGTACATGTTATATCCCATCGAGAATTATGAGTGGTAACTTTTGGGAACTATTTATGCACCAATCCATATAATTTTACTGTATAATTGTTAAGTACCTGTAACATACATATTCATTTTCCTCTTATTATAAGCTTTATTTTGACTCATAGACCATTACCATTCTTTAGGTACACCAAGTCTACGAATTACGATCTCCCACATTCACAGCCAATTTTGGCTAAATCTTGTGCAAATGTTATTTTCTATTTTGTGGTGCAAAGTAGTCTGTTTGTCTTGTATATAAACACAGTATGTTTTAAACACATGATTCATATCGCAGAGGCTGAGATTGGTGTTCTGGACTCAACAGGCAGAGATAGGCAGGAAGAAGAACGGATAATGACTCTAGACTACTCGCACAGGTTTACGCGTCATTGGTCCGGTTGACAAATCACTGTTCTCTAATTGGTAATAACATTATGTTATATATTAATAGGGCACAAGGCCACAAGTTATAACAGTATATTTCATGAAGAAAATAGTTTGATGAGTATTTCAACAAAAACAATAGAGGTTGCGTATTATTTATCAAGATAGATTTGATTGTTTACTAATATAAAAGTTATTCAGCTAATAATGAATACTTAACGTATACCAATCATATATATTTGTTGTCAAAGATGTTTGCCAATTATAACAAACGATTATTTTAAATTGAATCTATCAATGATTGCATAATCATATTTGTTCATTACAAGAAGTTAATTATCATAATTATCCAGTAAGTTTATAGTTCATTGAGCTTTTAATAAAATCATACGTCAATCAATCATTGAAATGAATGTAGACAGTAGAAAAGGTAATATATATATATATCAATAGTATATGTATTTGTCATCGAATGTTTCTTGTATCTTATATAGATCATTGAATATCATTCATTGAAGTAACCACATAACTTACTTTTCGATTGATTTTATCCAAATCTTGAATAACATGTGGGTTTTTTCTAACTCAACTCTTTATAACACTTCAGAATTATGTTACCACTTAATGATTATTCAATGAATATAGATTAGACTGTTGAAATTGATGTTTGTTTTTATGCAATAAAACAGTTAAACTATCTTACTTAAAACATCATAAACTTATTATCCATTAAGTGGAACTATAATTATAATGAAGAAATAAAAACAAACACAACAGAAAATCGATGATAATTATAACTAGAAACATGAAAGGTATTTTTCAAATAAAGAAATAATTAATCAAGTAACTTAGTAACTAACTGTAATGAAAAGTTAAACATCTACATGATGAACTATAAATAAATAAGTAATTAACTTACTACACCCCACCATAATGCATCTGCATATGTACGAATTTTTTCATTTTCTTTCTTTTCAACTAAAATATCAAGAATGAACTGAATAGAAGACCTAAAAATCCAATATATACCGTTGTGAATAATTCCTAAATAAAGAAAAATAAATAATGATAAAAAAACATAATGAAAAGACCAAAGAGAAAAAAAAATAAGATTGAATGTAATCAAATGACGTAATATTGTAGATAAGTTATGAAATATAAAAACAAACAAAAAAAATAACAGAAATTTATTGGATAAATATATAAGCATAGGAATGAAAAACAACAATAGGGACAACAACAATCGGATTAGTTATAATAAACACAGACATGATCGATTATTTTCACATTATACAGAGGGATATTGGTATAGACTGAACTGTACATGATATGTCACATTGAGGAAAGCACACAACTGCGTCACAGGATAAGCCCTCACATGGAATCCTCAAGGCCAAACGAAAAGAGGAAGACCAAAGAACACATTACTCTGAGAAATGCAGAGAGACATGAGAAGAATGAACAAGAATTGGATGGAACTAGAAAAGAAGGCCCAGGACAGAGTGGGTTGGGGAATGCTGGTTTGCGGCCTATGCTCCATTGGGAGTAACAGGAGTAAATAAGTAAGTAAGTACATGATATATATATATATATATGCTTCTTCTTTTTTTGCTTATTATGCGTATGAAAAAATAAATGGGGAATAAATAAATGGGAAGATTATTAACAAAATTAAAACTAAACGTAAATTATTGATAATTATTTCATCACATGATTTTGTAGAGATTTATTTTATTGAATCATAGACTGATGCTATCTGTAGAATTATCATTATTATTTTCACTAGCGTCACCGCCTTTCCGTCTCAGTTTATCTGAGATGAAATAATCATTCGTTATGCTATATTCATGGAATAATGCATCACGAATATGTATATATCGCAAGATTACCAAGCATAAATGTCTATATAAATTAGTTTGTAAATAGTTTTTTTTTGCAATAGACGAGCGAATGCAATGACAAACTAATAGAAATTGAAATGTAACGCATTTCCGTGTACAGAAAAGAAACCTATTCTTCAGTACTGATTTTTTTTACTGATATTAAATTTAAACTGCCTATAGTGTTGTTATTCTATTTTTATTACAAGTTCTCGAAACGTAGGTTTGTGGAGATTGTAGTAACTACAATATTTGAATTCATGAGTCGATGTGAGCTAGACCACCATTGAAACATTTGGAAGCACTGGATGGTCAACTCGCCCTAATATGGGACTCCTCAGAAGTACGCATCCACAATCCTGCACATGGGACTCAAACCCAGGACCCTCGATATTGAGCACGAACGCTTGACCTGTAAACCACTGAACCGGTATTCAACAGTGTTATTACGTAATTTGTTTATAGCGTAAAATCTGTCTTTAACATATGAAAGAATGATTTTTCAGAAATTTAATCTCTTTACTTCCTTGACAGTCATTATCAAGAACTGTGTGCAAACGTTTTATGACCAATAATGTTTACATGAAGGTTCAAATATTTTTACAGCATTGATATTTTAAATAACACTTGTACGCAACAAGAATGACTTAGTAATTATGTATCGTTTATTAACCCGTCATGGATTAGCTCTAACAGTATGTCTTATCAATAGGTTTACAATAACTGACAATATTGTAGTTAATAATATCATATTACGTGAGCTTTAGAGCTAACTGTTGCAATATCATAGCTCATGCACTTTTATATTTTTTCCTTGGGGGGGGGGAACCGGTTGGAAATCTCGCACATAGGTTCGTTGCTACTTAGGACTCATCAGTAAGAAATTGAACTCAAATGAGAAGTAAGCTTTCCTGTAGTTCCTTTGGGATCTAGTTGAAAATGACTATATCTACCCTCGTTGACACATGTTTATTTTGAGTGTTACTCGTACTGAAAATTTTCTGTGTAATCGAAACGTAATCCAGCGTAAAAATTTCATTTAAAGTCCCATGTAAAATTTTTCATTTTACTTTATGATTAATTCGAAACTTAAATAATCACGACTAATTACATGTAGAATTATCATATTGGCTAATAGATGATCAATGCAGAATAACTGACCAATATGGACCATTTGGCTGATACGTGTTCTGTGAGTTACGACACCTTAAGTGATCTGTGATACAAATGGATGAATTATAGAAAAAGATGGTCAAGTACAAACCTAAAGTTCAATAGTGAAAACTAACAAGTGAAACTGTATAAATTTACTTATCTGAGGTTGCTTTGACAATAATGAAATGTTCGGATAATCCCTCATTTTCATATCAATTTTCAGATAGTGATAAGTTAATTGAACTTTGTTCGTAATAACTTATTGGTACCTCTATCCAAAATCATTAACCGAGATCATGTTTTTAAATAAATAATATAAATACCTTTACTTACTTGTCTATGTGCCCATACAACAGATGCTAATAATTTAAATGATCCGCCTCTGCGATCCATTCGTATCATACGTAAAATTTGAAAGAATCTCAATCCTCTTAGTGCACTTGCTGCAAACATATTTCTGTCACTGTCTACAGCAAGAACGACTACACTGGCGACAATAACAATGACATCTGTTAAAGATTAATTTTAAAAAATGATTTTGCATAATTATTATGAAAAAAAAAATAAAATGTACTTCAAGTATTTTCGTAATTTACCAAACACTATACGGTTGTTAATGAAGGTGTGTTTACATGTATCATACGGATATACATTCAGATGATTGGACCTATTGACTCATTACACTAAAGTGATGGCTAATTCTAATAGAACTCTGAAAACATTTACATTGACACGTATTAGTTTATAAAGCTAAGTTTGTTTGTTTTCACAAAAAGTCAACCAAAAAACTATTTTATAGAATACGTAGTTTACAGAGCTGACTGGTCATTAAAGGTCAAATAGAATTAAATAGCGTTTAATTCTAGCTTGGAGTTTCTGTGGAACGCGTTCACATATCACCTCTATGGATTATACCATGGGACATAACCCCTTTCGGTATGCATTTTAATTGTATATAACTGTATATAAATCGAACGAAAGATATTATCGACTTTGATATACCCCACAAGTCAGAATTTCAAAAACTCTTCTGGAATCTCTTAATTAAAGTCTGTATGATGATTAATAGGACAGGAATTTTACAGAGTTTGTTCAACAAGCTATTTATATTATAATTGGGTGGAATAAATGTTATTTCCTCTTTTGTTTATTAAGGAGCTTAGACTGTACTTTCCTAAAAGTTGCATAATTCAGAACTGTTATATTCATCAAAACATGTATTAGTATAGAATCAATAAATTTTCGTGCCAACCTACTTTATGTTACACAAGATTAGAGATATGGAAACAAATTATAGATGATTTATGAATTATAAATAATTTATCCGTATATATATATGAATGACTGAGGGAATTGAATCATAAAACGGAAATAAATTTATGAAAACATAATTGAGTTTGCTGGTTTTGAAACTTAATTTTATCTACATAAACAACGATGGATAGTGAAATCTAGGACGTGCGTTTCATCCTATTTGGGACACGTCATCTGGATGTACCTGCATTTCAGCGTTGATGGTCACTATGAGACCTGAACCCAGTACCGTAATCCTAGTACTTAGGACTCAGTAACTAAGTGGATAATGTGATGACGTTTGAGGTGAACGGTGATGCAGGTACATCCAGCTGACGAGTCCAAAATAGGAACAAACAATATCCTTGCCACTAGGAGGCATTGAGTAGGACATCCCTAGCAGTGGTTGTATCCACGTGGCCATCTGAGAGCATTTCGAGAAGGAGAGTTGACTGTCCCCACTATCAGCCGTACCAGGGAATTCGGGGGCTGATGATATTTAAGGCAGTAACTGTTTCAAAAGTATCCTTATCTATTAGCTGGATGTACCTGCATCTCAGAGTTGATGTTCACTCCGGGAGTAGAACCCAGCACTGTTCGTTCCAAATAGCATCGCGTTATCCACTTAGCTATTAAGTCCTAATTACTAGGATTACGGTACTTGGTTTGGGTCTCATAGTGACCGTGAACGCTGAAATGCAGATACATCCAGATGACGGGTCCCAAACAGGATGAAACGCGCGTCCTGGTTTACACTGCTAGCCACTATCCATCTTTGCATAAATAATTTGTGAATTCAGGCAATATCGAGGCAGTCCACACAGTATACACATATTTCAACATGAGACTGATCAATTGCAGTCCTAAATAACAATGGGAAGATACAAGTAAAACAACACCAAGTGAATATTAATTTTATCTAAGCTACGACAATAAAAATCTGAAAATCAGGCAACTCAGAGAGTCTATATTTATAGAGTGAATAACTGATTAAAGTATAAATTCTATATTATTTATCCACAATAATAGATGTAGACCTTTATAATCAAAACCGAACTGTTCAGTGAAAATTTAAGTCGTTTAGATATACATACGCATAACACTTGGATGTATGTATACTATCGGTGATTTTACGTGGAATGAATGTACTTCTATTTTTAATTTTTTTTTCATCCGAATTTTCTTGATTGGTGACAATTTATTCGGCAAAAAATACCTCTGAGAGTCCATTGTATTAACGACATACCTTTTTAATATTATTTCTTAAATATGTAAAGGAAGATTTGTATGTTATTATAAATGATTCTTTTTTCTAAACAAAGACTTTGATTTACTTTAACCATCATTAAATGTTATTGAACTAAATACAATCTTGAATACTGACTTCAGTTTAACGCCATTTGTTAAACAACAATTAGGTCAGTAAAGGGTTGTGGAGATTATTGAGATCATGAACCGACTGATGTTAGACCACCATTAAGTCCCACAATAGGACGAAACGGCCATCCAGTGCTTCCAGGTCTTCGATGGTGGTCTAACATCAATCGGTTCATGATCTCAATCAATAATTAGGTCAACTAGTTTATGAGTTGAAATCCTAACATTAGTAAATAAAACAATGATTTTTATGAAAATCTTCATAAGGGTAGTTAGAGTTCAACATTTCTTATAGTTTAGATTATTCAATGACAATATAACTTACCTACGATACAAAATGGTCTTCTTGCAAAATGTAACCTTCCACGCCATGTTTGATATCTGGATCGACACCCAGCACTCCATAAACGTAGGCAATATTCAGCAAAAAACCAAAAGAGTATTACAAGTTCCTTAATAAATAAATTGTAAATAAGAAAATATTTTCAACTTTATATATGTAAATGAAAGAAAAATATAATTAAATCACAATTACTTTTAACCAACAATCAAGCCAATATCAGAAGGGTTCGTAGATGCGCACTTCTGAGGAGTGCCATAATAGGACGAAATGGCCGTTCAGTGCTTCCAAGTTTTCCATGGTGGCCTAGCATCAATTGACTCATGATCCCAACTATTCAAATCACACCAATATCAATAAACCTATTAGGCAGTTGACTACATTTTAAGTAAACATATCACCAAAATAACTGTTAATTTCACATGCCATTCTAAAGAGTATCGTAAAAATATAATCAGTCACTTATTTTGAATCAACCAGCATCAATGATAACAGGGTAAACAGACAGCATGAATCGCATTTACTCAACATTATTAATTTAATAGTTGAATTCATGAGTGAATTAACGCTAGACCACTATGGAAAACTCAGAAACCTTAGAAGGCAATTTTGTCCTAGTATGAGATTCCTTGGCAGTGCATATCCACAATCCGACCCCACGAGATTTGAATCAAGGACTTATCATTCTCGTGCGGGAACGCTTAAAATAATCGCTTCATATCTAAAACTTAATACATAATGAACTTCTAAAAGTTTTAATATTAAAACAAAGTTTCATATTATCAATCTATTTAATTAATTAATGAATGATGTACGTTAACTATAGAAGATATTCACATTCAGTCATATAAAAAGTAGAACTTATTGAGTAGTTAAACATTAGTACAAAACTACAAAAAAATGGTTGATGTACCATTTTTATTACGTCATCAACAAAGACTCACATTGAAATGACTGTATCATACATATATTGATTTACATAATAGAAAATCTCATATAGAATCATATGAATAATTAGGGTTTATCCTACTTATGTCAAAACTAATTAATTTAATGTAATTAAATCATAAATAAATTATACTAATCAAAGAATAAATTCAATTTTTGAAGATGATTTAGTTATTATTAAGTAAATAAGATTAATATAACTGAATGATTATGCCATAACGGATAGTTTGTATATCATACATCATACATATATTGAATATATCCATTAAACTAATAGTTATCATATGTATCCGTTAATATAATAAAAGCTATTTGGATAGAATTTAACAAAATATAAACAACAAAATGATAATATGCGGTGAAACTACTAGATTGACGGCTTAAATATATCAAAGTAATAATCATAACAATAGTAATGGTAAATAAATTAGATTTGGGTAAATAAATATTCAGTGTCGAATGCAAAGTCTAAAAGCAACTTTTTTTTAAAAAGGTTACTTGAAAACCATGTTGCTAATCAAAGAACTAAAGATTTCGTCTTCTAATAATATAGTGTTTGCAACCAGGATAATCTCGGATTATGAAGACCTTGACATCTGAGGGAAAACAAGGCATACAATGGACAGTTCAGAATCAATTAGACGATTTGGACTTCGCAGATCACCTAGTCCTCCTATCGCATATACACGAACAAATGCAGATAGAGACAGCCAGTGTAGCAACAGCCTCGGCATCAGTAGGTCTCAACATACACAAGGGGTAAACCGAGGTCCTCAAGTACGACACGGAGAACAGCAATCCAATCACTATTGATGGAGAAGCTCTGGAAGATGTAGAATCCTCCACATAACTGGGAAGCATCATCGATGAACAAGGAGGTTCAGATGCAGACGTAGATGTGAGGATTGGCAAAGCAAGGGCCGCATTCCCACAGTTGGAGAACATATGGAACTCAAAACAACTTTCAACCAATATGATAGTCAGAATCTTCAATACGAACGTCAAGGCAGTTCTACTGTATGGAGCTGAAACTTGGAGAACCATAACAACCACCATCAAGAAGGTACAAGTATTTATAAATGGTTGTCTACGCAAGATATTCAACATCCATTGGCCGGATACCATCAGAACAGCCTTCTGTGGGGAGAACACACCAGCTTCTAGCTGAAGAGGAAATTAAGGGAAGATGATGTAAATGAATGGAACATACATTACAAAAATCACAAAACTGCATCACGAGGCAAGCCCTAACTTGGAATCCTGAAGGGAAGCGGAAAAGAGGAAGGCCAAAGAACACATTGCGTCGGATAATAGGAGCAGATATGAAAAGGATGAATAACAGCTGGAAGAAGCTAGAAAGGATTTCCCAGGACAGGGTTGGATGGAGAATGCTGGTGAGCGGCCTATGCTCCTTCACGAGGAGTAACAGGAGCAAGTAAGTAAGTAAGGGTGAGTGAAATAATAGTGCAATTACAATTCGATCAAACGTTCAGTGAAAGACTATATTGTATGATATATTAGTATGACGTAATAAGGTGGGATGACTGAGAAGTAAATGAATCATATATTGGAAAGATTGATAATGATGCTTAACCAATAGTAATAACAATAATGATGATAATAATAACAATACAAATATATGTGAATAAAGATTATAGAGACAATAACATTTTACTACGAAACGTCATAAGTACTATAGTCAAAATAGACCATTCAATAGCTAAGATTACTATTGATTAATTGGCCTCGAGGTTAGTCAGGGAAGGAGAAGTGGTTGGAGATATTTCTTTTGTACGCATAGCCCTGGTTTCTTAATCCGGATGACTACTGCTTCAGTCGTTTGAAGGACTTTAAGTCTGATAAGCTTTGGCAAAAAATTAATGACCCGATAATTAATTGGAAAGGATTGATTTATACTGGCACTATGAACAGTTTGCACTAAATGGGCCAATATCGAGCTGCTCACTTTCTTCCACCAGACCTTTGCTTAATCACGCTGGGAGGTGTTCGCCAGCACGAAAATGTAAATTCCTAGAACTTCAACCTATATGACTTGCTCCACAGGAGAGTCGAGCTGATAAATACAAAATGAGTCGGTCATTCTAGATAGTTCATCTTTTAGTCTCGGTGTCATCATTGAGCACGTAGAAAATACTAATCGTAGTTCTCCGGTGTTGAAAGATTTTTGGATTATTCTGCTTAATTCCTGAGTTAATATTTCGCTAGCCATATCCCTCTTGAGTTTAGGGGCATGAACAGGGATTTCTTATTCATCGTTTTTATTTCACTTATACTCACCTTCGTGATCATATATTTAATTATAAACTTTCTAGGATATCCGTTCTTCCTAAGAGTATTACGCAAGGTGTTTAGCTCATCTTCAACTATATCCCTAGAATATATAGCGCATATTCGGTGACTAAGAGTTTTGATCAGATTTCTTTGTACTGTAATCGTACGAAGTTAAGGAAATGTATTTACCACCCTGTCCAGGTATTTTTTCTGTTTAAATTCCTTTTTAATGGTCCACCAGCTCTCTTAGGCGAACATCCAAAAAAGCTATACTAGCAGCACTCTCTTCATCAGATGTATATTCAATGGCTGTACGTACTTTATTAAATTGCCTAATAACCTCTTGCTGTGACGCATTATCTTTACAGAAGATGAATGTATCATCTATATATCGACAGTAAACTTTGAATATTTGAATAATGTTTTTGAGTGGACCATTTGTTTAAATTCAGCACAAATTTGAGGGTTATGATGATGATTACTCGCAATAATGAATAAATAAATATTTCACAGATTAACTTCATATAGTAAAAATCCATGTGTATTTCTTAATGATAGAAAATTTCTGTGTCGTGGTTACAAATGTTGGACAAATGCTTAACTAATCAGTTCATGTTGGTTTTGTTTGCTTCTATCTTCCCATTGCTGTTATGGACTGCATTTCATCGGTCTCGTGTTGGTATATATTTATCCTGTGCGAGCTACATGAAGTCGCAAACTTTATAAGCAAAATGGATAGTGGTTAATAGTCTAATCAAGGACACACGTTTCGTCAGCTGAATTTACCTGCATCGCGGCGCTGATAGTAACTCTGGAACTCGAACCCAATACCGTCCGTTTTAAACGCCATCGCGTTATCCACTTAGCTAGTAAGTCCTCATGTTTTCAAACATTTTTTCACTTATTGTCGCAATATATACCCGAATACCTCTGATAAATAGAAATAAACTCCTCATTTTTATTAGAATAAAGAACCCAATCCTGTACTATATATAGAAAGACAATTTTCTATCTAAATTGTCCAAGAAATGCCAACCTTTAAAACTGATGAGGAGAAATGTTGAAAAACATGTTCTCCAGTAAAAATCAAATGTAATAAGTAGAATGAATAGTTGACAAACTGTATAAAATACTCATAATTCATAGTAAAATATTATTTACACATCTTATAGTTGAAGTTAGTATTTTTCTTGTGTCACCTTCTCTACCAGATGCTCTATTTCTTATAGCCTGTAGTCATAGTTACTAATGATTTACATACTTTCGCTTTATAATTTCCATTACTGATTATTTAATGATTTGGAAAATGTCGAATATTTATTTCAATAGTTGAAATCATGAGTCAACCGAATCTAAAACATCATGGAAGACCTGGAAATCCTGGACGGCCATTTCATCCTATTGTGGGACTCCCCAGCAGTGCGCATCCAAGATCTCGCCCCCCCGTGAGATTCGAGCTCAGGGCCTATCAATCTCGTGCGCGAGCGATTAACCATTAGACCACTGAGCCAGCACCCAACGGTGTTAATATCTAAGTTCAATCAATCCACGAAATTACGCCACCGTCACCATTGTATTCATGAATGCTCACTGCTGAGGAGTCCCATACTAGGATGAAAAAGCCGTCCGGTGCTTTCAGGTTTTCCATGGTAGTCCAGCTTCAATTAACTCATGATTTCAACTATTGAAATTTCTAAAAAATCTCCACAAAACCCTTCCTGAGAATACTTATTATTTATTAATCGAGTTTATTTGTAACTTAGGTCATTTATACTTGTAATAATATTTTTTTTCAATATTAAACCTAGATTTCTATTATCAAACTTATAAGCATCTCTTTGTGTTATCAATATTATTTAAACCTTTTAATGT